CCGCCCACCCAAAGCTCGGTGCATCCCTTCCACAGGTTGTTCTAGATCTCCTGTCCAATCTACTCAACCTGGACACATTGCCTGTGTGCCAAGACTGAAGTTGCTAGGTACAGCAAGCCCCAGGAAAGCCCAGCACACACGCCCCTGCCCCTCCCATGCCCTGTGCCCTGTGCGTGACTCACACGACCACCAGCCACTTGCTCTGCTTCGCCAGGCCCAGGAGGGTGAAGAGGAACACTAGAAGCACCAGGAGCAGCAGAAGGACGTAGGCCAGCCACCTACAGGGGAGAGAGAATGGAGGCGGGAAGCTTCAGGAGGCCAGCAGCATCCCAGATTCACTCCAGCCCAACCTGGCCCTTCAGCCTCCCTGCTGCCCAACCCCTAAGCCAAAGACAGGGGCGTCTGTGAAGTGGCATGTGGACAGTCAGGGCACTGGAGTGCTCAGCGGCATGGTTTCTGGGATCGGCGCATCTGGGACCCAAGCTGTCAGGACCTCGCAGGAGTTGTGTTATTGTGGACACGTGCGTTGACCTCTCAGTGAAGGATCCCAGCCCAGCACTGCCAGGTTATCAGTCACCCAGAACCATATCACACATCCCAGGGGTGTGGTGCCTGGGTCTCAACTAGCCATGTAACCTTTTGCCTTAGTTTCCCAATGTGTAATGTGAGGGGAAAAACCAGTACCAACTTCAAAAGGTGGTTTGCCAGGCAGATGAGTGAACACATGTAAAGGTGTTAGGAAAATAGGCTTGTGAGTGCAGTAAGGTAAGGTAGACCACTAGTGAGGGGGCTTTAAATGCCATGCAATGTGTAATTAAGTGAGTCACTAGGGCTGCAAGGGAAGACGCATGGGAGGCCCCGACTCAGTGCTTGGCACACTGCAATGCCCAATAAATGGTGTTGTCCTCATGGTGGTCCCCATGTAGTTGTGATAACTGCGAGTTACACTCCCAGAGCCCTTGTCCCTGACTTTGTTCCCCAGACTCTCCTCCATGGCCCTGATGCATTTGTTGAGGGGCTCTGGAGTACCAGGCATGTACACAGAGCATCTACCTGGCATCGTCCCCACAGCTACCCCTACCTCCCTCACCAAGGCCCAAGTTTATGTGACCCTGGGCTTGGCCATGATATGGAACCTAGTATCAGACCTGCCTGCCTCCCATGGTGTGATGCCCCACTGCGTATCCTCTGCTGGGCATAGAACCCAGGACCAAGTCTGTACTTCAGCCTCCTGCACAGGGTAAGGGGACCAGGGGGTGTCACTGAAAGAAACAGTGACATAATCACAAGTGGATAAAGCAGGGTCCTGTGGGCTGGTGGGAGGGGTGGCTGCCCAGAAGACTGCACAATCTGTCCCCTCCCCCATGTCACCTTCACAGCAGAGCCCTGCAGACATTAACTGCCTGTCCCCTGTTCCCAGCCAAACCCCTTCCTGTTTAAGTTTCTCTAATACTCTCACCACCCACTTGCACACAGTATGTTTTACTATTTATTTGTTTATTTATTTACTTTTGGTAGTGGTACTGGAGATTGAACATAGGGCCTCACATATGCCTGGCAAGCACTCTCTCTGAGTCATGTCTGCAGACCCTCACTGATGGATTCTAGGCAGGTACTCTTCTGCTGAGCCATACCCCCAGCCCCTCACTGGGGGATTCTAGACAAGAGCTCTACCACTGAGCCACACCCCCAGTCCCTCACTGGGAGATTCTAGGCTCCTGCTTTACCACTACACATATTCTTAGCCCTCTATTTACTTTTTATTTGGAGTCAAGGCCCCACTAAGGTATCTAGACTGGCCTTGAACTCACCCTATAGGCCCAAGCTGACCTTGAGCTTTCAAATCCTCCTACCTCAGCCTCCTAAGTAGTTTGGATCACAGTCATAGACCTGTACTGCCAGGCTTCATGAACTGGTTTCTTACTGGCCTCCCATTGGAGAAGAGGCCCTCCTGTGTGGGTTTCCTGTGTTGTCCCTCTGTTCCACTGCATGGCGTGTCTGCACTCTACTGCCACCTTATCAACGATCACCATGTCCTCTGTCTCAGGCACTCAAAGTTACTAACTCACTCTGCACAATTCAATGAGGGAATTTTGAGCTACGCATGACAGGACTCACTTTCAGGTGGGGAAACTGAGGCACAGAGCTAGAAAGTAATCTAAGGATGCATAGGTAAGGACTGGCCACCTGAAGCTGAGGTTCCTAATTATGTGTGCTGTCCCTCAAAAAAAGATGTTAAATAAGCTCATGAAACTGCTCAGTGAATACAGGTGCCACATGACTAATCCAGGAGGTGGGTTTGCTACTGGGTTGGAGCAGCTGAGAGCAACTGTGACTTGCTGAATAAACGAGTCAAGGAATGGCTGGTAAGTGAATAAATGAAAGAGGTTATCACTGAGGAGGCAAATATGTGAGTATTGAGATGAGTCTTTAGTCACTTGATCCTTCTCACAGCTAAGTGCATCAGCCACATCACTGACATTTACAACCGGGTGATTCTCCACAGGAGGGATCCTGAGCAATATGCTGGCCCTCCACCCACCAGGTGATAGTAGCCTCCCTTTCGTTCAATGAGACAAATGAATGACATCGCCCTGGGGACCCAGTTTGAGACACCCCCCACACACACACCCTGCTGAAAGAGTAGGAAAAGCCTTCTCCCCTACCTGTACTCTTCCACAAAAGACACATCTTCAGCCACCCTAACAGGGCTCAGGGACACTCCCTGCCAGAAGGCCAGCCCTTGCAGCTGCTGAGCCACAGCCTCGGCCTGCCGCCTAGCACCCCTGGCAGCAGCCACCAGCTCTGTGCGCTCTGCCAGCACCTCCTCCAGGGTGGTCAGCTCTGTCCTCACCGCCTCGCCCAGCCGGTCCACTGTCTCCAGCACCTGGGGAGAGGGCAAGGTCTCAGGTCCAGAGACGGCTTCCTCTGGAGCCTGGGGTTGAGGTACAGGGTGTTGGTGATTGTGAAACAGGAGTGAGCAGTGTCAGGCACCTGGGATCTGGGGTCTAGAGTACCTGAAGACTGAGGAAAGGGGGATTCAAGGTAGGACTCTGGCTTCCTGTCAGGAGCTCTGGATGGTTAGGGATTTGAGTTCAGTAAAGAGTCCAGCTACATAATTGAAATTAAGTCAAGGTGGAAGGAGAAATCTTCCTTTCCCAGTCTGGGGTCTCAAATCTGATTCCTCAGTCTGGGACACTCAGTCCCACACACATGGAAATGAACTCTAAAGTTGGAGGTAGGGCTGTATATCAGCCCTGCGTTTTGGAATCCTGAGTACAAGATCTCACGGGAGGGGTCACTTAGCTTGAATTTGGGACAAGGGCTGGGTCTGTAGCTTTGGATCTGGCCTGAGGGTTGGAGCTGGGGTCCTTGGTATTTGGTCCCTGGCTTGGGCTACAAGTTGAAGTCTGGGGCTGGGGCTGGGTGGAGTCTCCAGTCTGAGTCTGAGCTTGTTCTAGATCTAGCTCAAGGTTTCAGGGTTGGGGTTCAATATCTGCAGATCTGAATATGCAGTTCAAGGCCTGGAATCTGCTCTGAGTTTGCCTCCCTTGTATTCCTGAGTGGGGAACCGCATTCCCATGTGGGGACCAATCCAGACATGGGTCTGGGGTCTGACCAGTGGCTGGCCCTCTCACCAAGTCATCAATGGTGCTGAGCGTGTGGTTGGCGTGCAGCAGTGCTGAGTTGAGTTGGGACACCCCATCACTGGTCTCGCTGTTGCCATAGAAACCAATGCCAATGCCGGCACTGAGAGAAGGAAGAAGAAATCTCAACCGGTCTGGGACCCTGAGGGACACCATCCCTCCACATGTACCCTCCCCATCCCTCTTCATTTGCCTATCCAGTCTCTGCACCCACCCCATTGGTTCATCCCTCCATGGGAAAAAAAAGAATAGCTTTGTTTGGTCTCCACCAGTTGCCAAGGTAACCTGAAGGACTCACTCCCCCAACTGGAGAGACGTCATTGTGATGCTAATGGTGGGTGGAGTGGCAGTGAAGGAGCCCCCAGATTTAACTCTCACCTCCCCAGAGCAGAACCCTGGTTCTACCCAGCCCTGGATAAGAGGTTATCAGTCCCTAATGATGACCAGCCCACATCCATCTCCTGCATCCTCTAACAAGCATCCAGCATTTACACCTGTTTTAGGAGTCGCTAGGTTCATCACCTGTCCCTTCCCAGCCCAGCTATTCCCTACCATTGCCTCCTGGGGTTTCCTAGGAGTACAGGGTCCTTAGCCTCCATCCTTTGGTGTGGGACACTGTGCCTAGAGCTCTCAGCCTTCCCCTACCCTGCCCAGGGATCCAGGCATCTGGCCAGCTGGAGAAGAGAAAGAGTGTGGGAGGGAGGGCTGGAGGCCAAGCCAGGAGCTGGGCCCCTATCCCTGCCCAGCCAACACACAGACCTCCATTGTGGAGCTTGAATACGGGGACCCACTTCCCTCCCCCAGTCTGGGCCCCACTCTGAAGGGGGCGAGAGCCTGATGCCCTCACAGTTCCCAGCCCTGGACTATGCAGGCCCCCACTCATATCCCTTGGATGGGAGCCTAGTGCCTCTGCCTCATTGTTCGGAACCCTACAAAGCTCCTCTTGTTCACAGGCCCTGAGGGGGCTGGGGCTGTCTCTCTCCCCGACTGGGCCTTTGTCAGCTCCCCCATCCACCCCCATTCTGGAGAGCCTTATGAGAAAACATCTTGGATATAGAGCGCCCAGCCCCCAGATACTCCCAAACACACACCCTCTTCTTCCTCACATTAGTGAGGAAGAGTGGCCCAGAGCCCAGGTTGGGGTGCCAGTTCCAGGCCACACCCCCAGCTGGTTGGAGGAGTCACCACAATCCTATAGGGCTTCCACTAGCCATCCATGGGGTCCCAGCAGGTCTTGGCCCCTCAAGTCCTGAGTCTTCTAATCTGTGGCATAAGTCAGCTACCTATCCATGACCTATTTAGGGGCTGGACTCAGAGCCAGCTCTTGGTAAACACCAAGTTCACCAAAGCTCCCAGGGAGCTCCTCTGAGGGGTCTGGGAGTTCTTTTAACAGGAATCTCTTGAACCATGTGGCCTTGAAAAGTTGCCTTCTCTCCCTCCTTGAGCTGTCCTCATTCTTGAGCCCAGCCCTTACAAAGAGAAGGAATCAGACCCATCTCAGGTGTGGGGGCTGAGTAGGTGCTTGTGGTTGTGATGGTGTAAGTCCTATCTTCCTGATGGCAATCCTAACTCGGGGAGGAACACCTGGGCTGATATGTTCAGTGCCTGGCACACAGTCGTTGAATGAATGAATTGAGGAATGGATGAATGGCATCACTAGTTAATGCAAAGGACACCAGTGATCCAGGCACTACACACTCTTAGCATGCCTAGTGCAAAACCCACTTTACAGATGTGGAAACTGAGGTCTAGAGAGTGCATCCCACTCCCCCTAGGTGGCACTGCTGGGCCAATGGGAGGACAACCAACACCCCAAAACCTGTTTCAAGCTTCACCTAGGCTGGCTGCTGCCACTCACATTGAGCGTCTGTCTTGCTATGCACCAAGCAGAAAGGCACCCTCAGTGTCTAGCGACTCTCTCTCCTGCCTCTGACCTCACACCTCAAGATATTGTGAGGAAGCTGACCAAGTGAAAGGAGCTCTGTTCCCACTTCCCATCCACCCTGGGGCCCCATTACCAGCCCACGAGAAGGGCAGCGATGCAGCTCCAGGTGACACAGCCTCCCCCGGGTGGGGGGCTCTTGGCCCCGGGAGGCTCTGGGGGTCGACAGCAGCAGAAACGGATGAGGTAGACAGCGATGAAGATGAGGGTCAGGCCCAAACCCAGGCCCGCCAAGGCCGTCACCAGCAGCAGGGCCTGAGAAGAAAACCTCAGCTGGACCAAGCCCAACTGGTGGCATTCGGTCCCTTTCAAACTGTCTGCTGAAAATTGGGGGCCCAAGCCTTGGGTTCCAGCTCTCTCTCTCTCTCTCTCTCTCTCTCTCTCTCTCTCTCTCTCTCTCTCTCTCTCTGTTCTTTCTCTCTGCATCCAGAAACCCTCTCTGTTCTTCCTCACTGCATCCAGGTAATTGAAATGAAACATCTCCCAATGACTCGCTCCCCCTGAACTATGTGGGTTCAGGAGGTAGGCAGGGTGCCCATTCCTGTGCTGTGGAAAAGCACGGGCGGCAGCATCCTTTTCCCTTGTCTTCCTCCTGCTGCTGAGTTTGTACACCCACCACAGCTGTGTCTGCCACCCCAGGACTGGGGATGGGGACAGGGTGCTCTGTGTGTGTGTGTGTGTGTGTGTGTGTGTGTGTGCAGATGTGGGTGCCTGTGCCAGAGGAGGACATCAGATGTCACTCCCCACCCTGTTCCCTTGAGAGAGAGAGAGAGAGACTGAGAAACAGACAGAAAGAGGCAACCAAAGAAAGAAACAAAGCCAGAAAAGAAAGGTGTAGAGATAAGACAAAAACCAAAACCACTATTGGGTTCAAGTCAGAGAAAGAAGAGGGGAGGGGGAGGGGGTTGCCTCCCAGAGAGAGGTACAGAGAGGGGACTGTAGAGAAGAGAGACAGACAGGGCCAAGTTGTACTGAGAGACACAGAACACAGAATGGAGGTCAGGTGGGTTGAGAGCGTGTTTATGATGGGGGAACACCTTGTAGAACAGTGCAACTCTGATGTAGATGTGGTGCAACATGCCTGTAGCCCTAGCACTCCAGGTGGCCGAGGCAGGAAGATCTCCACAAGTTTCAGGGCAGCCCAAGTTGCATAATCAATTCCAGGCTAGCTTGGGCTACAGAGTGAGACCATGTGTCAAAAAAAAAACAAAAACAAACAAACAAAACAAACACAAACAAACAAAACAAACCCATATAGAATAGTGGGGCTCTGCATGGGGTAAGGTCTGGGTAAGGTCTTCCAGGAGATCTGTGTCACCTGTCTGTTCAGAGACCCAGAACTAGTCAGGGTTGACCTGGAGCCATACAGCAGGGTAAGGACAGCGTGGGGTCCAGGATCACAGCACTGCTCTCCTGGAGGCCTCTTAGCCATAACCTGTCTTTGTGTCCTCCACATCACCTGTATGAGTGCCAAGTGTGTGCAGTGTTTGTGCAACTGACAGTGAATTTGCCTTCCACAGGACGAGAGTATACCAAGCGTGAGAGTGAGGTGCGTGTGGCACACTATGTGTGAGTTCTAGTGTTTTCTGAACACAGCTGCTTGAGTCAGTGAATGGTATTGGATGGTGAGTGTGAGCACGTGCGTATATGTGGGAGTAGATGTGTGTGTATGCATGGTGTATGGGTGTGCATATATGAGTGCACATGTGTGTGTAAATGTGTGCATAGGTACCTGAGTGTGCTTCTGTGTATGCATCTGTGTTCCTGTGGTCCTGTAGGACCTGTCACAGAGTCTCTCATATTGTATCCACCTGTGCTCACCGGCGGTCATGTCCGTGAAGGGAAATGTCCTGGGGGTGGGACTGTACACGTGCAGCTGTGACTCCCATACTGAAGATGGGGCTGAGTGAACGTTTCTGAGCATCTGTGGCTGTGATGGCGCCCGTGTGTGTATGGGGGGAGGATCCCGGGTGGCTGGGGAGGTCTCCAGAGCCATAAGCCCCGCGAGTCTGGCTGGGACCTGCTGGAGGCTGTGATTGTGTAAGCAGCTGTGGGCGAGGGGATGGCGGTCCCGGTTAGGAGGGGAGAGGAGGCGGGTGGAGTAGGCAGGGAGGAGCTGCTCAGGCTGTGCCAGCCATGACCCAAATAGCAAGCACATAGCACACATCCCCCTTCCTACTTTCCTGGGAAACCCCCTCCCTCGGAGCTCTCCCAAACCTGGACCCCTTTCCCAGAAGCCACCTTGAACAGAC